TTCTACTGATTGTGTTGGTTTCACTGTTTCTCTGCCAGGATATAGGGTTTTACAAAAATGTACACATGGAATACAGTTTTAACAGTATGGTAGGGACTCTTGTCTTCTTCTTGCTTTTAAACTACCATATATTAGCAGATTCGTGTTCTGGAATCTTATCTGTAAATAAGTAATGTTTTCCTCTACGGTTTGTCTACATCTTGACTTGGTTTCTTCTTCTGGGTGGAGATGCTCAGTGTCATCCACGCAGACCTCTGTTTTTCCAGTGGGACTTTCCGTTCTTCTTCTCCTCTGACCCTAAAATTGCTCCAGAACGTCCTCTAGACTAGAGCCAATTTTAATGATAGGCACAGGGAACGTGGTGGTATCTAACAGCATAACAGAGGAGAAGGGAAATCCACTTCTGCCAGTGGTTCATATTCCTTGGTGGACAGTACTGGGATTTAATTCTCCAAACTTCCTGTTCCTCTGTGTGATTTAGTATTAATACTGAATCCTGTTATCAGAGCTTGACTTCTGTGCCGCCTTTTTCAAGTCCTTACAAAACGTTTCACTCTTAATTATTCCTCTGTCTTCCTTTGTATCATCAATCTCAGTTTCTTGTTGGAGAGCATGGACGGTATATAAAGCAGTTTTCTTCTAATTGTTGTGTGTTTGTGCAGATGCTATTAGGAGGAATGAATACAATAACAAGCTGAAGCCATCTCTAACCAAGCAGGATCATACATGAGGTCTGATAGCATTATTGCGTAGGGATCCGTGGCTTCAGTATGTTCTTATATTAATTCCTCTTAAATTCTGCATTGCAAGTACATTAATTTGATTATATCTTTGAGTTTCCAAGCTATCTGGAGCAGAAGAGTAAGGGACAAAAGACATTATAAGGAAGAAATCAAAGTAAATATTTAGCATTACTTACCATTTAATGTAGCGAGCTGGCCATTTCAGATTGAAAGCTGGCATAGCAATGTACACGTTTTTTTTGGTAGTCACTTCAGCTTGCTGTTTTGAGTATTTAATCTAAATCTGTGTTTTCTGAAATGTAATCGTATTGTTTAACTTGAAAATTAGATTTGGAATCTAGTAAAACTGTCCCCTTGCATGTGTAATATGATCCAAATTCTGTGTCAAATTACATGGGACAGCAGAAGTCACTTTTAGAAATGCAATGTTTCATGAAATTAATAAGCACCGTAGTACCGTAGGAATTAAGATGAACAACTGGCAGTCTAGTTAGGTGACTATTCCTCAGAAGGACATTTATTTATGTGCACAGCTCTTTAGGCATGTGATTTTTATTGCTAAAAGCCGATAAAGAAATGCTTTAAAGGTACGTAAGCAGGGCAAACGCATGCTAGCTTACCACTGCATTTGCTTTGACTCTTAAACGGCAGAGGCAATTTAGAATTCATGTAGTTCCTTTAACATGTTATAAATCTGTGATTTGAAAACAGCATTTTGCAGAATCATTGGGTTTTTCAAGAAGAATTGAAAGGGCAGGGAAGTTTCTTTGGCAGTTTGCATAACACTATTGATGTTCTGAGCCTCAGTCATGTTATGCAAACTGCAGTTGCATCCTCAGTTAACAAATTCTTTTAAAACCAGTCTTGTCCCGCAGACTGGTTTTAAAAGAATTTGCCTTTAGTTCTGTTTCAAAGCTGTATGCTAGCCAGCCAGCTCTTTATAATACGCTGACTGGATAGCTCAGTGTGGCCGAGGTATTTGACTAGAAAGCCAGAGATGGGTAGTTTAATTCCCTACTGTGCCTCCTAGGAGGATAGTGAGACTATGAAGTCTTGGGCAAAGCTGCACATATCGAAGGTACACTCAGAAGAACGGGATGGTAAGCCACTTCTGAGTATTTTTTTTATTTTAAAAGCCCAGGAACGAGTTGCCATAAGTCCGAATTGATATTATTATGCTATATTACAACCTTTTGATAATTTTTTTAACTGAAAAGCAGTATATAAGTATTGTAAACAAATAATATGCACATCTCTGTTATCTTGTAGGAGTCACTAAATGCTGCTTGTCACAGGAAGAACCTTGCTGATGCCATGGCATCAACAGACTCTCCTTTATTGTTGATCTTTATGAGTGGTAATCAGAATATTTGTTTGGTGTTTTATTTCTCTCCCCATCTAAACTAGCTGTGCCAAAAGATGCCAAATTTTTCTTTTTCGACGGCTAATAATTTCCTCCGTTTCACTCCTGAATCCTTGGATGAAATAAGAAAGAGAATTGCTGAGAAGAAAGCAAAGCGTGCTAAAGCCTTCAAAGATGACGATCGTGGACAACAAGAAGAAAACATCAAGCCGCAACTGGATCTGAAGGTTTTCAAAAAGCTACCACATATTTATGGGAAACCGCCTCCTTGGCTCTTTGGAGAACCACTGGAAGATCTTGATCCCTATTACAAGGACCATGAGGTAATGACACCTTAAAAGTACATAAATAAACTTTAAGTTTTGTTTTGACAAAATTGTTTTCCAGAAAGAAAGAAAGAAAGAAAGAAAGAAAGAAAGAAAGAAAGAAAGAAAGAAAGAAAGAAAGAAAGAAAGAAAGAAAGAAAGAAAGAAAGAAAGAAAGAAAACATTGCAGAATCATTTTTTGGCAGCTACACTAGAATTCAGAAATGCTCCAGCTCTCATACAATCCATTTCAGAATAGAGCTGTAAACTTAAATTGATAACTACAGTATGTAAATTGATGATTGTGGTACAATCATCAAGCACAGACTTGAATTCAGCAATGTTGTTGTTAAGGGTTGTTTTACTAGAGAAATTGATGTTTACAGTAAGCCACAGAGAAACAAACAGTAAATCGTGGAAGAGAAATACTCCCTTATCCATTCATCTATGTTACACTCTTTAAAAAAAAAACAGACTTCTGGAAGTCCCAGCTCCTTGGTAAACTTAAGCCATTTATTTCTTTATTTAAACTATGTTTACCCCAACTTTCTCCTTAAAAGGACCCAAAGCGACTTCATTTATTGTACTTCATTGACTGGTGGTATCTGAGTTATGAATTGTAATTTATCCTGTCAAGAATAAGGTGGCCCAACAGCTACACAACGACAATCTTTTGTCCTCCTAGTTGTGTTACGCATTTCTTTTAAGATAGAAGACTTCCACGTGGGAATCCCAAGCACACAGCATCACAATTTTTTAAATTAACAGAAATCAGATTGAATTTCCTGTGCATCGACCTGAAGCAAACAACAATTGGGTTTATCTTTGGAAAATGTGCACAGGAAAAGGGTGAAAATCTGTGCTGCAGATATGTAGTCTGGAGTTTCATAGTTGGTTTCTGTTGTTGAGCATGGGGAACATAACACAGACAATCCAGTCATCTTAGATGGTCTACTTTTGGAGTCCTTGATTTATATGTTTGTAGAATGACAGGGATCTTGTTATTGTTCCTCACATACAGAGTGGGTAGAGCCTCTATCGCTCTTGATATCCTTGGTCCAGAAGGTTTTTGAAATCCCAAATCAGTACTTTTGAACATGCAGTAGCTTTACATTTGTAAACATTAGTTAAAAGCATATTAGTTCAGAATATTCTTACTTCAAAATAATTAAAGGTAAACTGTATATAATATTTTTAAAACCATTTGCATATGTTTTACAGACTTTCATGGTGCTATCATCCAGGAGAAGAATTTTCCGATTTACAGCCACCAAGGCATTATTTTTGTTTAGTCCTTTCCATCCGCTGAGAAGACTAGCCATCAAAATTTTGATACATACATATCCTTCTAGTAAACTTCCTTCTCCTGTGCTTTATAATAAAATGTGTCCATTGGTATTTGGTATCTATTTCATAGAATGAGCACACAGCAGAGTGTATAATATTTTGTAAGGTGTGCGCCAATAAAATTTTTATGGTCATCAAGTCAAGGGGTACATCTACATATTTCAACTGTAATGGGCTGCTTTGAAGAGGAAACTGATTTTTTTCTTGATTAGATTAACTCATGACCATAGAGGTTAACTTTATCACCCACTTTGTAAAGTTGGCTGGACTCATATGTTAGATGTGCTTAAAGTCCTGTGTTTTCTGCTTATTTTGGCCTATTAAAGTCAGAACATACACTACAGGTGCTCAACCATTAAGACTGAAATCATGTTTGTGATTGATTCAGACAGTCAGTTGTGCCTCTAAAATCACACTTGTAAATCAATAATGTGTTTTTGTCGAGGACCAATCATAAAAAAAGGCAAGCTAATTTTCAAACTCTAGGTCGGGCTGAGAAATCTTTCTGCTGTGGCCAACGTACAAAATCTGTGCCTTCATCTTCTAATGACTGGGTCATATGTGTACAGTTTGACCCAAAGTTACATGGACTAAATTTATGGACTTTATGACTGACTAGAAAATTCTGGGAGCTACAATCCGAAACAGTAACATTTCCAACCTCTAGACATTATGTCGCTAGTAAATAAAAACTGTTGGAAACCTATTAGTTGCGTCTTAAGTCTTACTAGCACTTAGAGCTCATCACCTTTTTGAGTTACAGACTTCTCTGGCCGCGAAATTTAGGTTTGACTTGCAGACTGAGATTTGACTTACAGACCAGAAAAAAAAAACCAAAATGGAACAAAAACGGCCTGTTACGGGATTAATCGGTTTTCAATGCACTGTAGGTCAATGGAGACTTGACTTACAGACTTTTTGACTTGAGAACCGCCTTCCAATACGGATTAAGTTCTCAAGTCAAGACCCCACTGTAGTTGCTTCGTAAGTCTTACTAGCACTTAGAGCTCATCATGACAATTATGCATTTGCACTGAAACTAGAAACAGTTACATTGAAGTTATGAGAATTCATAATTTTTAGAAATTCTTCCTTAAAAGTGCCATTATAAAAAGCAGCACTCACCTTTTTTTTTGGTAGTTATTAACATACGACATATATTGAGCATGTCCTTCTGTGTTGTCAGAGCAATGCTGTTTTTCTTAACTTGTGATTTACATTCTTCATTATATTTATCACATCTGTTGTTCTCACTAACTGTGTGTTTATGACTTTCACAATTTCATCAGATACCTTCAGTGAGTAAGTATTACTGCACTTTAATCTATTTCCCTCAAGCCACAATTAACTGACCTGCGGGATTGTGTCAGGTAGCCCTGTGAAACTGAGATAGTCAGAAGTAAAAGACAGCCTATGTGAGTGATAATGATACAAAGGTGAGTTTTGAGTAGCCCAGTGGCTTCTGGTATTCTTTCATCAGAGATAGGAAAAGAGGTGGATTGTTGGAAATCTGAACCTATGTTATCCCCTGCCCTTTTCTTTAATTAAAGAACACTTAAAAGTATGATTGGGCCATGGCAGTGGGAAAGAGGGTATTTAACCTTCCCACAAGAAGTCTTTTCTAGATTTAAATACCTCCCATGAAGCTGATATCTGCATCACTAGGGATACTCCTTCCCCCCCCCCAACATTGAAGCACATTATTGTTTGGGGAGAGATGATGGTGTTAGATAAAAGTTAAAGATTTAAACATCTCTCCAGGGATCGTAGTCACTCAACTTTACACATAAGCACCAGCCAACCATCTGCTTAAAAAAAAAACAGTACTGTATAAGACAACCCTAATCATGTGTCTCCTGCAGCTTGACAAGTTTTGTCTTAACATTTTTAAAGATAATATAACAACTGTTGTTCATATATCCAGTCTCATTATTGTCTCTAACCAAACAGATCTTGGAGTTCCGGGGGTATTTAAAATCTGCAAACCTTTTTTTAAAAAACAAGAAATAACGATGAGGCAAAAAAACCCCTAAGATCATGGCCACTGGTCCCAGCACCTCCTGGCAAATAGAAGGGGAAGATATGGAGGCAGTGACAGGTTTTACTTTCTTGGGCTCCATGATCACTGCAGATGGTGACAGCAGCTATGAAATTAAAAGACGCCTGCTTCTTGGGAGGAAAGTGATGACAAACCTTGACAGCATCTTAAAAAGCAGAGATATCACCTTGCCGACAAAGGTCTGCATAGTCAAAGCTATGGTTTTCCCTGTAGTGATGTATGGAGGTGAGAGCTGGATCATAAAGAAGGCTGACCGCCAAATAATTGATGCTTCTGAATTGTGGTGCTGGAGGAGACTCTTGAGAGTCCCCCAGACTGCAAGGAGAAAACTTTCTCCATTCTAAAGGCAATCAACCCTGAGTGCTCACTGGAAGGACAGGTCCTGAAGCTGAGGCGCCAATGCTTTGGCCACCTCATAAGGAGAGAAGACTCCCTGGAAAAGACCCTGATGTTAGGAAAGTGTGAGGGCAAAAGGAGAAGAGGACAACAGAGGATGAGATGGCTGGACAGTGTCACTGAAGCGACCAACATGAATTTGACCCAACTCCGGGAGGCAGTGGAAGACAGGAGGGCCTGGCGTGCTCTGGTCCCATGGGGTCACAAAGAGTCGGACATGACTTAACGACTAAACAACAACAACAATGTAGTTATAACAAGGTTTTTTTTAAAAAAAACACACACTAGAATTGACCACCAGTAATTCCTGTTTCATCTAAAGGTGCTGCTGCATCCCCAGCAGGATCCTTGGGCTGGAAGAATGGCTCCTGCTGAATACTCTTGTCCTAAAACCCGGACCAAAGGCTGTGTTTTCTTGACTGGATCATGAATTGTGCATGCGTGGGCTAGCAGCTGGATCAGGGTTGAAAATAAACTGAAATTTAATAATAAGACCAAATGCCATGTAGCATTTCCTGCAATTCTGTCACAGCGCTTCCCTTTTTTCCCCCTTGGCTTTCCTTTGATGGATAAAAAAAGGATTTGAAGTGAGCTGAATATTATCGAAGGAGAGCATATTATCGAATGCATCTACATTTTCAATTAATCTGCTCTCCTTCCTCCTTTGCTTTTCAGGTATATCTTCACAGCTGTGTATTCAGTTGAATTTGTGATAAAAGTGATAGCAAGAGGATTTGTTTTGAATAAATTCACCTATCTTCGAGACTTCTGGAACATCCTGGATTTCTTTGTTTTGATTATGACGTAAGTTTAATTCTGCTCTCTTCATTTGCCAGTCAGAATCTCCAAAAGTGGAAAAGGCAGGTTTCATTTGCTAGCTTTTGACATCAAGGAGCTTCCAATCTAACGAAGATGTAATCATGTGGAGGTCTATCTTCTTCGGCTTTTATCTGCTAGACGTCTTGCTGCTGTTGAGTGCACTTTCTGTTGTGTCATTTGTGTAAGAAGTCTAATGAGGTGTGACTTTTCATCTTTTCTACTACTTATGGATATGTACTGGTGGAATCCTGACTGCCTTATGAGTAAGCCACCTGCTGAATCTCTGTGCAGAGTTGTATTGGGGCACAGTGGAATCACAAAGTGCATTGGGTTGAGGGGCCAGTGAAACAATCTGCGGTTTCTGCCTGATCACCTAATCTGAGTAGAAGTATAAAGTAGGCTAAGAATTAAGCCGCATCAATGCCAAATTGCTCCAATTTGACTTGCCAGTACAGTATAGTTGTAGCCTTAGGCAGGAATCTTTTCCTCTAGCTGGAGATGCTGAGGTCTAGAAGTGGAACCCCATGCAAGCAAAGTGTGTGATCTATTAATGAGCAGCTTCTCATCCTAAAGAGGATCTGTACATAAGAAATGTTCTTATCCAGAGCCAGGGTGGGGTTCCATCAAGGCCAGTATTATGTTCATTCTCATTGGCGGTTCTTATCCAGAGCCAGGGTGGGGTTCCATTGAGGCCAGTATTATGTTCATTCCCATTGGCGGCAATTAACCCGGGGTCTTTCCATGCCTTTAATTGGGATTGCATCTGGAACCCCTGGAATGCAAATTATCTCTCCTCTGCCTCTGAATGGTGGCCCATCTGCCCTGCTTTGACAGCCCTGGAACAGGAGGAGTAGCGATTTCCCTGGGTAGGCAGGAACGCAGCTGTATGTGCAAAATGCAAATTACTGCTGATGATTTTATAAACTTATTAGCCTGCCAATTTTGTGCCAAAACCTTTCTGTTGTTTTCAGATACATCGCCTTTTGCCATAAGTTTGGTAGCATTTCGGCTCTCCGAACCTTCAGGATTCTGAGAACTTTAAAAGCTGTTTCTGTGATCCCAGGTGAGATTTCGTTTCCCCCCCACACACACTAAATTTTACATGGCAAGTAAAAGAGCAGCAGCAGCAACAACAAAAATCTTATCTTTTATAATGTTCTATTATATATGTTGGAAGCTGCCCAGAGTAGTCAATTGACTAGATGGGCTGGCTATAAACAAACAAACAAACAAACAAACAAACAAACAAACAAACAAACAAACAAACAAACAAACAAACAAACAAACAAACAAACAAACAAACAAACAAACAAACAAACAAACAAACAAACAAACAAACAAACAAACAAACAAACAAACAAACAAACAAACAAACAAACAAACAAACAAACAAACAAACAAACAAACAAACAAACAAACAAACAAACAAACAAACAAACAAACAAACAAACAAACAAACAAACAAACAAACAAACAAACAAACAAACAAACAAACAAACAAACAAACAAACAAACAAACAAACAAACAAACAAACAAACAAACAAACAAACAAACAAACAAACAAACAAACAAACAAACAAACAAACAAACAAACAAACAAACAAACAAACAAACAAACAAACAAACAAACAAACAAACAAACAAACAAACAAACAAACAAACAAACAAACAAACAAACAAACAAACAAACAAACAAGTGACAAACTGAATGATCCTGGAAGGTTGCATTGCAGTATATTGAGTGAGGTCATAGGTCCATCTTGCCCCATACTGTACTACCACCTTTGACTGAGAGCAACTCTCCAACTTTTAAAGCAGGATTCTTTCCTAGCCCAGACTGGAGATCCTTGATGTTTCCTGGAGGTTTACCATCTAATGCTAAGTAACTTTCTGAGATCAGATGAGCTAATGTATGTTCAGGACAATCCTATCTATATACCTATTACTCAGGGTGGGAGGTATATTGCTATGAAGTTGCAACGGCTGCTATTTATCAAACATCAGCCCTTCCCCAACCTGGTGCCCTTCAGATTTCTTTGCGGTACCTTTCCCTAAACTCCAGGTGAGTTACAGGGGTAGATTCAGGGCTTTGGGAAGGCATATTTTTAAACAGTTCCAGGGGTGGTGGTGTTACATGCTATGCTGTACGTGCTTAGCCCAGGACCAGATGAGCCAAAATACACAACTCAGAAAAACTCCCACCATGGATCAAGAGTAGAGATGGACACAAACTGCTGGTTTGGCAGTTTGTGCCAGTTTGTTTTTTTCAGTCAAACAGGTGTTTGGCTTTTCCCAACCCCACCTCCTCCAGCAGGTGCCCCTGGCTTCTCTACCCTGCCTCCTCAGGGAACTGCCGCTGAGTGGTTGCCCACTGGAGGAGATGGGGCTGGGAACCCCCAAACACCTGTTCCTGCCTCCTCAGGGAACTGCCGCTGAGTGGCTGGGAACCCCCAAACGCCTGTTTGGCTGAAAAACAAAGGGGCATAAACCCCCAGTGTGGCAAGAGTGATGGGCACACCTCCAACAGGGTCCACCAATCATAGCTGTCGCTGCAACGGCATCCAGACGGAGAACCAAGCACCTTGTATCAGCAGGGATCACATGCCATGAGCTACTCATCCCTCCGTGTGATAACATCAGTGCATCTGGGTCCCACCAATGCCTGTGGAGTGCAACTCCCTGGAATCTTTGCTGGCAGAGACTGCCATCCCTTTAGCCAACACGCTGTGGTTGAGCCTTGATTTTGAGCATAACTGCGCAACACGAAAAGGGAAAGAAGGGAAAAGCCACACTTGAGAATTCATAACTGAGCCATCCAGGTTGGCTGCAGTTTTTTATCTGTCCTATTTTATCTTGTTCATTTTTCTTTTTCTCCTAGGGCTGAAAGTCATTATCTCGTCCCTCTTCCAATCAGTGAAGAAGCTTGCAAACGTGATGCTGCTGACAGTTTTCTCCTTGGCCGTCTTTGCTCTGGTCGGCCTCCAACTCTTCATGGGGAACTTAAGATTTAAATGTGTGCACCAAGATTTTATTGATGTGCCATACAACGACTCATGTATCTTAAATAATCCAGGTGAGTTACATCTCACCCTCCATACATTTTATATAAATTGTATACAACTCCTTGAGGAGCAGGTGGTAACATTTGTTTGTTTGTTTGTTTGTTTGTTTGTTTGTTTGTTTATTTATTTATTTATTTATAGCCCACCCATCTAGTCATATAGACTACTCTAGGCGAGTAACAATGTTTGTTTGTTTATTTATTTATTTATTTATTTATTGCCCACCCATTTAGTCATATAGACTACTCTGGGCAGGTAATAACATGACATATAACAATTTACAATTTAAAAAAAAAGTTTAAAAAAAAAAAAAAACCCACAATGATCCAAGATGGGAGAAAACACAAGAAATAAATCAGACAGTGGATGGAGGAAAGGCTTAAACAGCCAGTTTTTCAATTGGTGTTTGAAGATGCCCAGGGAAGGGGCCATACGGATCTCAGGACGGAGGCTATTCCAAAGGCGAGGAGCCACTGCCGAGAAGGCCCGGTTTCTTATTTTTTCTTTCCGGGCCTCCCTCGGTGTTAGGCTCCTCAGTCTCACCTCCTGGCTAGATCGGGTGATAAGGGGAGATCTAGGTGGGAGGAGGCGTTCCGCCAAGTATTGAGGTCCTAAAGCCTTTAGGGCTTTATAAGTAAGCATTAGAACTTTGAAATCAACGCGGAATCGAATGGGCAGCCAATGCAATGCGGCCAGAGCGGGAGTAATATGTTGATGTTTCCTTACCCCACTAAGAAGTCTGGCTGCTGCATTCTGCACCATTTGGAGTTTCCGCATTAATCTCAAAGGTAGCCCCACATAGAGTGCATTGCAGTACTGTAGTCTAATCTCGAGATTACGAGCGCATGGACCAAGGTGGTGAGCGCACCAACGTCAAGAAAGGGACGCAGCCGGACAATCCACCAAAGATGGAAATAGGCGGTGCGGACCACTGACGCCACCCAAGTTTCCATGGTGAACGCCGGGTCCAGATGTACTCCCAAGCTGCGAACCTCATTCTTAGCAATGAGAGTCACCCCCCCAAATGAGAGGGAGTTTCCCAAACCACTGACCGTGGGTCCACCCACCCTCAGGACCTCCGTCTTGTCCGGGTTCAGCCTCAGCCTGTTTTCCTGCATCCATTGCAGTACAGACCCCAGACAGTGCTGAATGGACAGAACAGCCTCCTCTGTATCATTCTGATGATACAATATCATTCAGTATCATTCTGATGATATTCTCTTTTTTCCCCCTGCCCCAGTATTTATTTTCCTTCCTTCCTTCCTTCCTTCCTTCCTTCCTTCTGGCCTAATCAGTTAAGGAGTGAATGGATTCTCAAACTCACAACATAGCAAAGTATTACTTGCATGTAGATTATAATCTCACTGCATGAAAGTATTTAAATAATGCCTGTTACTGTCCTCCCAGAAAATGAGACTATGTATGAGAAAATGAATGGCTCTTCCAATCCATTGCTGTGTGGATACTCCTCTGATGCTAAGTAAGTAATCACTACACTCTTAAAGTTTACAAAGTAGCTGGGAGAAGGGGCGGACGGGTAACAAGATCAGAAACATATAATGGGTGTGTGAGAGAATATTAAACATTTCCCCTATACCATGATCCTCATTAAAATTAGTCCTATGTAGAGTGGGTTATCTCCACCGGGGAATCAAACTCCCAACCTCTGGCTCCACAGCCAAACATCTAACTCACCGAGTTATCCACCTACTCAATCTAAAACTAGATATTCCCTCACCAGGGGAATGTTTCCTAGTTTCTCTGTGCTCTTAAATACAGGGGTGGAGGTTGGCTTCTGATTCACGGTTCCATTTTAAAATGGACCCTCGTTGACCTACTGGGCACAAGAAAAGAATGGTCTTAATTCTAGTTTTTTGTTAGGAAAGGGAACTAGTTAATTTTCTCTGCCTTCTCTCCGCTCCTCTCCTGACATTAATTTAATGTGAGAATTGTATGTGTTTGGAGGTTAATGTTGTGCCCCTCCACTTTATGTTCATCCAGATATGTCAATAAAACCATCTAACCCCACTATAAATCTTTAGTGGCCTCATTAAAGGAGACCAAACTTTGGGTAAAACACTTACAACCTCGCATGTTCTTAATGTTCTGACAGTTAGGAGTATAAATTCACAACAATATGAATATCTGGGCTCATTAAATATTTTGATTGTGAGGCAAGCAATTTTTAATTTGAAATCTCTTTGTAACATAATATCTGGCTTCTGGTTAGTAACACTGAATGTGGCGAAAACTATTTCTGTGTAAAACATGGAATTAATCCGGATTATGGATACACAAGCTTTGATCATTTTGGATGGGCCTTCTTGTCTTTATTCCGACTGATGACACAGGATAGCTGGGAGCTTCTCTATCGGCAGGTAAAACATTATTTGTTTCGCTGATTTTTGTGTAAATGTATTATGTTGTTCAGCAGTTAACATTTTCTTTCAGTTTTATGCATACAGTCCTCCAGAAAGGGAAATATTTTGCCCTGTATCTCCAAAGATTTAGCATACAATTTTATAGGCACATCCAAAGTATTTCTGGACTGCAAAAGCACAGAGCAGTTGTGTTCATTTCAGCCCTGAGTACTTTCAGAAAACATTACATCAGAATTTCTGAGACTAGGTTCCTGACACAAGTTTCCACAGGTTAAATCACCACCACCTCTGGGGCAATTGAACTTTTGAACCTGTCAATTGGGTTCCAGTTGAATTTTTATCATCACCATTATCTTAGAACTGCAAAGCTGGAAGAGAGCCTATGGATCATTGAGTCCAGCCTCTGTCAAGGAAGCTCAGTGTGGAATCAATGTCGCAATCTCTGGCTCCGCAGCCAGATACCAGAACCACTGAGCTATCTAGGAGTTTTAACTCCTTTGTGGCCAAACAGGGACTTGTGCTTGCAACAAGTTTCTGCATCTGGTTTTAAAACATTTTAAAATATATTTGAGAAAGAATAGATAACAAATATTCAGAAACTGCTTATAGTACTGTGTGAAATTATTATTGTTGTTGTTGTTATTATATTGAGTTGTTTGATTTTTTTTTAAAGTCGGAATTCAAGTAATCTAATTTAAATGATTTATTGACCGCAATCCTGTTGGTATAGTTCTGAATAGACAAGGTTGGTGCCATCATTAGCTGCATCCCTTTAATTTTAATTAATTTTTTTCTATTTCAAACCCCCATGTTCTGAGGCTCCCTAGGGATCACGTTCCACTTTAGAAAGTGTTTGGGGTCTTCAGGATGGAAGGAAGCCTCTAATGTATGAAAATCACCGCTCGTAGGACCAGTCCCAAGGGTGGGGCTGGCAGCAGTAGTTTACAGACATGAAAGGCTCCCCCTCCATACTTCCAAGCACCCTGAAGGCTTCTTCAGGTCTAAAGGGGCCCCTTGGATCCTGGAGGAGAATAGGACATTTTAAATTAAAGCTAAAAGACATGGGTGATGCCACCAACAGCTTTGTGCCTGCAGAGTGGCACTAGCAGGATTCCAGACACTGACTGAGAAAATTATTGTTATTAAAAAAAATTCCATAAGCATTTAAACTCCACCTCCTTTCTTGCTGCTGATCTGCTCATTACACTTTCTGGAACCAGAAAGTAAAAGCGAAACTCTCAGCTTTGGAAAGTTCCTACTTGCCAGAATCTGCTAGCATCTTGGTGTCAGGCAGATGATTCTGTGTATAGCTGTATCCGAAGCTACATTTTGAAGATGGCTTCTAGGAGGACATTTTTTTAATATGCAGTGGCTGGATTTCAAGCTTCATCCTGACTTCGTTCCATGGCTATCACCAGTTGCTGCAGACAAATGCAAAGGTTATTTGTAAAATGTGCTACAAAGCCTTTGAACTAAGTAATATGGAAATTAGAGCTATGGAGTCTCATGCACAAGGACCATTACACTGGAAAAAACCTGAAAATTAAATCAAGTCAACAGTCCATGTTTAGGTTCAAAGCCAAGTTGATAGAGAGAAGTCCTTTGAAGTTCAAGATCCTCTGGTCCTCACACGACCAGATAGGCGGGATATAAATTAAATAAATAAATAAATAAAGATGGTGCGTGGCCTATCAGCATTAGATCCTACTATCATTTTATACAAGCCAAATCTTGGAATCACCAGAATAAGGGCTGTTCTTGAAGCTCTACATGCAGCAAATCAGATCAATGTGACAGTAGCAGAAAAATCAAAGCACTACTTTTAACCACATCCGTCCTCAGAGTTCAAGGCTCAAATTCAAGCATATGTTGCAAAACCACATTCTACAGTGGTATTTTGATGTCCAACAAACGTTTCTCAGACCTGTGTGTGGACTGTTGTCAAAATGTGCCGTAACTTGTCTCACGGTAAGGCTTCTGTTGAAAATGGATTTTCTGTTAATAAGTCAATGTTAATTGAGAACTTGGTCGTCTGTTAACGTCAGATTTACGATGCTGCCTTGAACTGTGGAGGACTTGCATCGTTTGTAATTAATATCAATCCGTTGGCAGTTGGTCAGGCATGCTCATGCATGCTATACCTCGTCCCGATACGCAGACTCATCATCATCATATTACTTGTATTCCAATTTCTAGTTTGATTATTACTACAATTTCAAAGCTATGTTTCATAATGTGGCTTCAGAGAAATCATTTTAGACAGAACATTAAATTCAGAAGAAAGAAGAAAAGAAGAAACCTGAGAGACAAATTAAACATCTTGAAAATTCTTTAAAAAAAAAAGACTGAGAGGAGAATTGATGAGAAACTAAAAGAGTTACAAAATAAAAAGAAAACTGTAGAAGTGACGAGTTGCAAAACAGATGTTGCTGCAGTTAATTTTGAAAGAATTTGATATTAAATCTCTTACTTTGACAACTATTCTTGCAGTTGAGACCTGTGTAGTTGTAGAATGGAACATTTCATTAAGACTTGCATTAATGCAACACAACCTATTCATTTTTTAAACGTGTGGTTATACAGTACAGTATTTGAATGGTGGTCAGGGAAATTGACAAATGTTGGTCAGGGAAAGTCAAGGAAATGAAAAATAAAATTTAATTGGCAACCCTGTATACACCAACACTTCCTGTACACAAAAACCTATGTTTAGGGAAGATATTTCTTCTGCCTTCATACCATTTTGTCATCTACCACAGTGTGCAATTAACTCAGATGTACAATTAACTGGTTCTGCTTTAGAATAGCTGTATATTCTGGGAACTGAGAAATGATCAAAATTAGTAATGTTGTCCTTCCAGGTTATCAGGACATCTGGCAAAATCTACGTCATTTTTTTTGTGATAGTCGTCTTTCTGTGCTCCTTTTACCTCTTTAACTTAATCCTGGCTGTTGTAACAATGGCGTACGATGAGCAAAACAGAGCAACAGCTGCATATACAAAGGCGAAGGAGAAGTTACTTCATGAAGCAAAAGAGATCCTAAGAAAGGAAAAGGTTAGTGGAACAAGCATTGCAACAAAGAACATTTATTTTTATTCCATTTGGCAACACAGTTCTGTGTAATACTTGAAATGCAGCCGTAATATTTGGCTATTACATTTCTGTAGCAGAGATTGACAGGGCAAACATGAATACTGTATATGAATTGTTTGCTGTTATGTGCCATCAAGTTGCCTTTGACTTATGGCTACCCTATAGATCAGTGACCTCCGAAATGTCCTGTCTGCAACTTGTAAACTCAAGGCTGTGGCTTCCTCTGTTAACTGGGTAACATTTATTAAATAAGACTTAGAAAACAGCAATATATATATATATAAAAATCTTCCAGGAAGAAATTGTCACTGTAGAGCAGGAGTGGGCAATTAATTTCTATAGGGGGGTCACATGAAAAATCTGAACTGTGTTCGGGGGCCGAACCAACTTTACTTAAAAATAAAATGAAACAGTGATGTTATGATTGTTTTTATTTAAAACCTGTTAATCTTCACAAATACTAAAGAGTTTTTTTGCGATATGTTAAAGATAAGCAACTGATCAACTTTAGACAAAAAGCTATAAATGATTTTGATGCTCAAAACTGTCTGTGGGCCGGACAGGAGCAGCTCACGGGCCGTATGTGGCTCTCGGGCCGCACTTTGCCCAGGTCTGCTGTAGAGTCAAAGTGAAAATTCACATGCACAGTTTAAATACGAGGTATAATGTTTTAGTTATAAAGTTTGTTTATACCTGAAGGTTGGACAGCTCAAAATCCATTTTAAAGAAATCATAATCAAAGGCTTATAAACCAGATTTGGCAATCTATGGCTCTTCAAGTATTGATCAATTACTACTCCTATCCTTCTGTGTTGGTCAGGCTAGAAGGAGGTGGTGGGAACAAGAGTCTAGCAACATCTGGAAGCCAACAGAGTCGCTAATAGCAGTACAGTGGTAGTAGAGCACTGAGCTAGATATCCAGGGAAGATATCCCTGCACATAGGTAGGCTCCCGACAACCCAATCAAGGAGTGATATGTGTTCCTCAGAAGATAAGGGCTACTCCCTGCCATGAGCAACTTTCATGGCTGCATCCCATAAGCAAAGACTCGATGGAGCTGGTGTTCTTACTCACCAAAGTTAATGGTGAGTTGTCCATCTACCTTCAATTAGAACATGTTTTTTTTAACAAGATAAGATTTATATTGTCTCTGTTTATTCCTACGGTGCTTATGGTGCTTATTTGGAAAATATCTGTTCCAGGACATGGTCGCCCAAAGACATGATGTATCTACAGGTGAAAATGTTGAAATGCGAAGTGCAGAATCCCAAAATGGGAAAGACAGAAAAAGCAAGAAGAAACGCAGAAGCTCAACCACCAGAATATATGGAGAAGACGAAACCATGTTTTATTCAACACCAGACAAGAGTCAAAAGGAGCTTGTAAGTTTGAGTGGTGTCATCTTTGTGTGCGGAACTTTAAAAATTCATACCTAAAAATTAGGTATGAATCAAGCTTAGCAATACTGGGTTTTATTTTCACACCTGAAAATAATGTTTTAAAAATTAACATTCATTTCTACCTAAAAATAACAAATTCAGAATTTTATTTTGGCATCTACATTTTACATTGGATTTCAAAATCGCTTTATTCTTCTTACTTTTTAATAGACATGTTTCATCAATGGTACAATTTTTACTCCTTTATTTAATCAAAATAAGTGTTAGTGGCTCTGCATAGTTTGTTGGAGTTATCCATGCCCTACTCTGCTCCTAAAATACATAGCTGTGCTCCATCTCTCTTCGGCAGCTAATCCTGTATGCCTGTATCAGTATGCCTGTGAACCTGGTAGACAGAGAATCATATGAGAATGCCAGACACCTGAGTTCAAATGCCCAGTCATGGAAAGTCATGGTGGTTGTTGGGATGGGGGCAGCAATAGCAAACCACTTGTTGCATGTATTTTCTGGGTCATCATAAGTTGGGATTGACTTGATGCCCAATTGGTAACAACCTTGTAAGTCCCTTCATCCCTGCTTGATTTTGGGTTAAAATCGGACAGAAGTGGAGTAGGTCTACAGGACATCAACCTCAGGCAATGTTTTGATGTGGATATATCTATTTGACCAACTCAGAAGGAATCTTTGTAGTTAGTATTTAATATTCCAGAAGCAGAATTAACTGCTTACTTCAGGTGCTGTGTAAGTTAAGAAGGACTTTAGACTTCTAATGAGGTTTCCTAGTCTAATGCTAATTTATGTACAATATATTCTCTATTCCTCCACTCGTTCAGTGGGATTTATGTATAAATTCACAGAAAGGTCTTAGTGTCACTCACTCACTGTTGTTTTCTGTACCTGAAGAAAGAGCTGCTGATGTCTTATCAGCTACCTGTTGAGACCCTTGCCGACCCATTTCAAAGACAAAAATTAACAAGTGCTGCTCATGTCATCAGCAAAACAATGGGTAAGTTAAATAGAAATACAGTTCCTAAAAAACATGGGTATTTTAAAAAAGACTTATTGAAGGAAAGATGAAAATAACACATCCATTTTATTTTAAAATTGTATAGAATATATTGAAAATGATGCAGAACTGGGATATCTATTGGGAATTTGACAGATAAATTCTGACTCAGTCTGTCTTTATATTAGGTTTGATAGTTTTAATGTAATGGTATTTCTATATAGATACATTTGATTTTAATGTATTGTTAAAAATAACTTGAGAGTCCAGGGTATGTTATCAAGCAGTGCATTGCTTTTTTCTTTAGGCAGATACATTTTTCTAGAATTAGAAATGTATTGCTAATCTGATTATTCGTTAACATTTTTTTAAAAAAAAAATAAGCAAACTATATTAAACTCAAAAGTGACAACTTATTCCTGTTAAGCATCTACTAATAAAAAAACACAAACAAATATTACATTAAAGATTTACTCTGTCTATCATCCAACATGAAAAATTTAATGTAGGTTTAAAAAAAAGATTAGGCACTGCCATGTTCAAGAGTGAATCAACTGTCATGTCTCTTTCTCAGCAATTAAAGAAAATACCATGAAAATAATGGAAAGGCGTGGCTGGTGCAGAATATAATTGGGTTCTATGTAGAGATGAGCACAAATTGGTTGGTCCCAGTTTGTAAAGGCAGCAGCACAGATGCTGTTGCTCCTCTCCCCTCCCTCCTCAGCCAATCAGCCACTCACCAGGCCCGGCTTGCTTGCTTTTCCCACCTCCATAGCTCATCTCCCAGTCAGGAGCAAGAGCCCAGACTTCTCTGCCCTGCCCTTTGATCTGATTGGGAGATCAGCCGAGAAGGCGGGGCAGAGAAGCCTGAGCTCTTGCCGGGACCGGGAGATCAGTGGAGGAGGTGCAGGAATCTCACAGGCTGGGCCTGGCAAGGGGCTGGTTGAGCCAGAAGAGGCAGGAGAGGGGAGAGGCAGCCTTTATGAACTGGGAAGAACTGGAATGAACCAGTTCATGGCCACCTCTAGTTCTATGTCAGGGCATTCCAAGCTGTGTTATTTTTTTAAAAAGCCTGTCACATTTAACTGAATTTTTTTCTTATTTCATAACTGAGCCTACCTCTATTATGTATTGTATTATTTATATATATAATTGTTTTCTGCTTGATGCTTAGAATGGGAAGAACGGAAACTGGAACTCCCTCCTTTCCTGAAAGAAGCTACCCGGAAATATCTCATTTGGCAATGCTGCCCATTCTGGTTGCAAATTAAACAAAAGCTGAAGAAAATAATGATAAATCCTTTTATGGAATTATTTATCACACTATGCATTGTAGCGGATACTCTGTTGATGGCATTAGAAAACACCCTTCAGGATCCAGCTGTGCATTCTCAAGGAAACAGTGTAAGTGGTCAAATCCTTCTCGGTCTGCTTGCTAAGAATTACTTTTTTTCCCATATTAGCTTCGGGGAATTTTTGTTGCTGCTTCTGAAGTGACCTTAAACCAACTTCGAGAAATGGGAATCGCAGAATTGTTCAATGCTTCTCCTACCCTTCTTTGTGAAATCAGTCAATCACATAGTGAAGGTGATCGTCACGTGAGGGAAAAATTAATGTTGCAAACCTGAAATTGCTGGATTTGTACTCAGATGCCATATACCTGAACTCCAGAAGGGCAGCTATTCTTTCTACTGCGCATCTAAAAATACACGAGTCATAAATCCTTCAGACAGCAGTCTTTACTTGGGTGCAGCTCTCCTCCTTCATCTGAATCTAACCCATCCCGCCACATGATACGTTCTGCATGTCGGCTGAACAGAGAGGGATGAAATGCGTCCTTGTCTGACACTTTTGCCCATGGGAAACCATCATAATTTCCATATTCTATCATGACAATAACCTCTTGTCCAAAGTCCAGGTTATACATCAGGACAATTAAATGCTGCTGTGCAGTTGGGGTATTCTTAGCAACATGGGAATGTCTGAGGTATGCTTCACAGCTCAGAAATAACATATGGCATAGTCAAAGGCCCAAATTCAACAGCACCTGGCACTATTGGAACAGGGAATTCCCTCCTCCTCCCCCTCCCCAAAGACCCTGGTACAGTGTTTCTCAGACTCTGGAGCAAGGTTTTAGGATGCACTGTGTGGACAGCTGTTGTTATTTAGTCATTAAGTCATGTCCAGGTCTTCATGACCCCACGGACCAGAGCACACCAGGCCCTCCTATCTTCCACTGCCTCCCGGAGTTGGTTCAAATTCATGTTGGTTCCTTCGATGACACTGCCCAACCCTCTCGTCCTCTTCTCCTCTTGCCTTCACATTTTCCCAACCTCAGGGTCTTTTCCAGGGAGTCTTCTCTTCTCATGAGATGGCCAAAGGATTGGAGCCTCAGCTTCAGGATCTTTACTGAAGAAGATCTTCTCCAGCTCAGAGGCAGTTTTGAGAGACAGGCAACCAATCACTCCAACAGAGCTCCTGTGTTGTAGTTGTGCCAGAAAAAAAAAAAAGCCGAGTAGCCGCTGTATCCATTCCCATGATTGCCTGCAGCTTTTCAGCTACTTACTTAGGAATTATAACAATGAGTTTGATACGGTGTCACTGTGTGGATTCATTGTTATGGGAAAGAATTTTGTGATGTGATCCATCTTCCTGCTCTGACCCCATTTCTCTTTTTCAGGTTTTCACTGCCATTTTTGCAGCGGAAGTGGTCCTTAAGATCATTGCACTTGATCCATACTACTATTTCCAAATGGCTTGGAATATTTTTGACTTCGTAGTGGTCGTCATAGGCATAATAAATTTGATATGTTCAACCCGATATTCATTTTTCAGAATGGTAATGATAACTGCTTTGTTCTGTTTAAGTCTTCCAAGCAGGTCTATGAAATCTTTCACCTCTTCCTTGCCACCATAATTCATGAAACTGAGTGTATATAGGGGGGAAAAACATTAAAGGGACTTGACATATTGGTGACATGCTAAAGGTATTATGGATCTGAGAAGGTTTTTTTTACAAAAAAAAAACTACCTTCTTACTTGGTTGATATGATAGCAATGGCATTTTAAAGTTTATAGCTCTCAACTACAGTATGTCATTTATAGCTCTCAACTATTGATATTCATTTGGAAAAAAAACAAACAGTGGAAGCAAACTTAGCCTAAAGTACATAAATGAAAAAGCAGAAGTAGCAGATGATAACTGAAGCTAAATAACCAGATGGCTGGCTGCATGGCCAGTAGGTAGGTATGTGTGCCACGCATTGTTATAAGGGTGTGCTCTTTCATATTTTTTTTCAACTCCAGCTCCCAGGATTCTGAGCATATCCTTACATTTTGCTCACCTGGAACAGGCCGTTTCTCAGTTCTTTGTGGCCTTTTCTGGCCTTGAGTTCTGTGCTGTGCGTAATGTAAAAAGAAAGAAGCTGCCACAGTGCTTCCTATGGGTTGCCGTCTCACTGTCCATTAGGATCTATATAAGGCTCCTCCTGAAGAACTACGACTCCCATGATGCACCATGGCACCTTCTTCTTCTTCTTCCTAAATTAACTACAGGAGCTAAGGCCAGAAATGGCCATGCAGTTTGAGAGCCTTGCTCCAAGTCTGCAAAATATAGGTGTCTATAGATGTGTGTTTTGGGGCTGAAACTCCCAGAATTCTTCCCAAGGAACTCTTAGAGAATTCTGGGAATTGGAGTCCCCAAACCCCAAACAACATGCCCTTCTATTAGCTTCAGCTACCCACTGCACTTTCCATGTTTTCACTTACATGCATGTTTTTTTTTTAAAAAAACCCAAAGCCTGGCTACAGTGCATATTGTGGGCTAATTCTAACATTAATTTTACCTGGAGTAGTCCAATTGGAACAGATGGGATTTCATAGCCACAACTAACTTGATTTCAGTAGGTTAATAGAACTGGATTTAGCTGAGTGTGTAAATATTAATTCTAGGATACTACAAGGTAGGATGAGATAAAATGAGATGAGTAGAATGATGATAGGCATGCCTTGCTAAGATGTTATTAGTTTCAACAGGAGACAGAACAGTTGCTTCTTAACATCTTAATCCAAAGAAAGAAATCTGTATTTAAAAGTATATGATAGGCATGCCTTGCTAAGATGTTATTATTTTCAATAGGAGACAGAACAGTTGTTTCTTAACATCTTAATCCAAAGAAAATCTGTATTTAAAAGTATGTGTCCTTCTTCATATTGATCAACTATGGAATAGGGACTGAAAGCAGGATTCAAATGTATGTTCAGAGACAGGTGTTATGTACAGTGGTGCCTCGCTAGACGATGATAATCCGTTCTACTGAAATCACTGTTTCGCGAAATCATTGTCTAGCGAAAAGCATTTCCCCATTAGAATGCATTGAAACCTGCGTTCCAATGGGGAAGAATCGTCTTTGTCTAGCGAAGATCGGCCATAGGAAAGCCGCTTTGCGATCCTCCGATCAGCTGTTTAAATCGCTGTCTTGCGAAGCTTCGGTCCCGAAAACACCCGTTTTGTGAGTGTGGAGGGAGCTGTCAAAATCGTCTAGCGAAAAACGGTTTGCGAAGCAGGGACCAAACATTGTCCAGCAAAATTCCCCCATAGGAATCACTGTTTTGCGAATCGCTATAGCGATCGCGAAAAGTCAATGTCTAGCGAAAAAACTGTCATGCGGGGTAACTGTCTAGCGAGGCAACACTGTAGGTGCTTATGAATTCTAATGTAGCACTTGATTAGAGCATAGAGGCATGACCTGTAGTACACTTCCTCCATCTTAACAGTGCAATCCTAAATTACATGCCCCGTCTGTAGAGGGTTAGGAAAAGAGAGGAGAGCCGATGTTGCCGGCAGAAATCCCGTTATGCCATAAAAGCTGTCCTTGTGCTGCTAAAACTCCTGTCTGAGAAGGGAGGCAGTGAAGGCAGAGCTGACTTGTGCCGGATCCCAGCCTCATCCTGCCTGCGCATTATGCTACTGCAAAAATAGGCCAGGGAGGAGAGTGATTCCCAACATCCCAAGGCTGGGAGGGTTTTGGATCCAGTCCTGCTCCAGTTGGTCTAGCGTCCAACTCGCTATCTTGGTTGATTTGGATAAACTCATGAAAATCATGTTGAAGTCCGTGGGCCCGCTGAGTAACCTCACGCTCGTTCTGATTTTCACCATATTCATTTTTGCGGTCGTTGGCAAACAGGCCTTTGGGAACTATTACAAAGATTTCAGGAATAGATCGAATTGCGCCATCTGCGTTGGTGACGAAATACCACACTGCGACCAGGCTCCGAAATCAACATGCAGGCTACGATGGCACATGGAGGACTTTTTCCATTCGTTCCTTATCATATTCCGAATTCTATGCGGAGAATGGATCGAAACCATGTGGGGTTGCATGGAAGTTGCGAGCAAAGAGGGCTGCATTCTTCTTTTCATGTTCGTTTTAGTAGTGGGAAACTTAGTGGTGAGTTTCCAAATATTTTCTTGATTTTGTGCCGTATATTTGAATGTATTTCTCTGGGTGAACTTTGTTAAGAGCAGAGTATTAACTACTCTTTGTGGCTTTCCTTTGAAAAGCTCAGGCTCCCAATTTCTTTCCCTTGAGGCAAGAAAACAGTTCATCTCTAGAACCATGCGTAGGATCAAGTTCTACAGAAGGGAGGGCCATCATTTCCAGCTCTTGCCTTTATAAGCATCCTCATCCTCATCTTAAAACTGCAGAACTGGAGTCCAGCCATTCGAGGAGGCAACAGTGGGGAATCAAACTCCCAATCTTTGGCTCTGCAGCCAGAGACCGAAACCACTGAGCTATATCCTCTCTCTCAATTTCTCAGGTGCCTTAAAAATACAGAAAAGAGAAAGGATAGGTAGTAGAATATTATGTGTTTCTCTCTTCTGTTGCCAAGTCCAATCATTTGAACTACCATATTTTTCTGTGTATAAGACAGCTTTATGTATAAGATGCCCCCCCACTTTTCTAATCCAAAGTTAAGAAATCTAAGTGGGGCTTAGCAAGTGTAGGGGGAAAGGGATCAAAGCGCTGCAGGATCGCTTTGATCCCTGCTTCCCCCTCCACTTGTTTTTGTTCTCTCCTCAGCTTACTTCCGTGTATACGATGACCCTCAATTTTTAGTCTAAAGATTTTAGACAATAGTCTTATACATGGAAAGATATGGTAGTTTAGTGCAGAATGGAGAAGCGGCACCATCCACAGGCAAGCCCCTCATTCAGAGTTTGAAGGAATGAGTGAAAATTGGCACAGAGGGATGCTGAGCAGAGCAGAGACCTCTTATAAGGTACTCTGAGGTACTAAAAAATGTCTTTCTCTTTTCTATCGAGGGGGCCATGCGTCAATGTTCATGGAAGATGGTGGTGGATGCCACATTGAAGAAAGATTCTCTTGTGTTACTTCATAAATCAGTATTCTATCTTTGAATTAATGGCAGATGTCTATGAGTGCATTTGTCTTGCAGAGCTGATGGTTGCATTTTGGGAGTAGATGGGCAAGAAGTGCCTTACCCTGGCCCAAAGCTAAATACAGTGGGGTCTCGACTTACGAACTTAATCCGTATTGGAAGGCAGTTCTCAAGTCGAAACAAAAAAAAAAAAAAAACCCACTTCGTGGAAGATGATGGTGGATGCCACCTTGAAGAAAGATTCTCTTGTGTTACTTTGTAAAGCCGCCTAGAGTGGTCTTAATCGACTAGATAGGCGGGATATAAATAAAATAAAATAAAAAATACATAAACTAAAAATAAATCAATATTCTATCTTTGAATTAATGGCAGATGTCTATGAGTGCATTTGTCTTGCAGAGCTGATGGCTGCATTTTGGGAGTAGATGGGCAGGAAGTCCCTTACCCAGGCTGAAAGTTAAATATTATGGGTGAATAGGCATTAGTGAGGACTTGTTGAAGATTGCTCCAAACCTTCCTAAGGAAGAAGGCTCCCTGGATGGACAGGGTGGCAGCTGGTGGTAGGCTAGTCCCTGTTACCTGTTATTTTGCCCTGCATTTGCTCATCCACTGTCCAGTTAAGACTGGAAAAAGGAAACTGCAAATACTCTCTTCACATATAAAGTTACTGGGGGTTACCAGATACCCAGGCCTCAAAGCAAAGCTTGCTGCTTCTATACTGCCCCATAGCACATAAAGCATGCTCTGGGCAGTTTGCAATTTAATCATTCTGGCTACAGCCCCCCCCCAGCAAGATGGGTTGCTCAGTTTACTGACCTCAGAAGGATGGAAGGCTCAGTCAACCTCGAGCTGGGATCGAATCCGGGTTGGGAGCAGAGTTTTGTCTCCAGTACTGCAGTTTAACCACAGTGTCACAACGCTCCTGGTAAAGGAAAGGATCTGCTAGTGTGAGGGTCAAACTGGGTGTTAGGAGGAATGTGGTTGTTCCTCCTGTTAATCTGTTTCCCTTCTGCCCAGGAGACTTACTTCAGAGGTAGATGCTTCACCAGTCAGTGTTTCAAATTACCCCTGTTTAACTTTCTGTGACCATTGATAAAATAAAGCACACTAAATGCAAGACGCAGAAGTGAAGGAAATCATGTGCTATGACAAACATGTCTTTCCTCACTTGAGGGAATAGTTCCTTCAGAAATGGTCTATGCTCATCGGTTTGACACCTAAGCGGTATGCTCCAGCACTACTTTGATTGCATCACATGAGGCTGCTAATAGGATGTATTTCATCTTAGTTTATTTGACTCCAGGTTTTCTAGGAAAGAATCTCTAGCACTGCCTCAAACATTAACTAACGTTCCGTGCAGGACCCCCTGTATTGTCAAACATTTTGTGGTTGTAGTGCCTATATGCTTTCAACATTTGTTCCGATTTTTTCATCTGACTTTTCTTTTGGAGAAGCACGAAAGGGTTGTGTAGTAAACATGAAAATGGTATGTAGGCATAGGATCTTTATACCGACGGAAGAAGGCTTGGAATTTCACTCCTATATGAGCCTACAGAGAAATACGCTCTATAGAGTTTAGTGGGGCGCTTCCGGAAAGTGAGTCTCTAGGATGACCACACAAGTGTCTTATTTTCTGAAACATCTCTATGGCTTCATCCTGTTGCATTTCACAGGTCCTTAACCTCTTTATTGCTTTGCTGCTGAGTTCCTTCAGTAGCAGTGATCCAGAAAGCGAGGCTGGTGACACAGGGCCTAAGCCTCAGGTGGCCCTGGCTCACATTCGCAGAGAATTGCAGTCTCTGAAAGAGATGCTGTGGAGCTGTTGTTGCAACCGATTCCTGCAGAAGCTGAACGCAGCAAGGCGAAAGAACAAGGAAGTGGCCATTACCATCCCGAACGCTAAGGCCCCTGAGTCGGTGAAGGGGATCCGGGGGAGCGGCGCTGGCAGCGAAATCTTCAGAAGCGGTGGGAAACCGCTAGCGGATGAGATGGAGGCAGAGTTTGTGGAAAAGTCTAGCACCGTTGCCCATGTTCCCCTTGCGGAACAAGAGTCTTTAAATGACGAGAGTGGATATCCAATAACAGAAATCGATTGGAATAAACAGGTATGTAGCTAAGACCTTGGAACCATTTTTCCATCTGTGATATTTGCCATATGGGTCCAGTATGGTGTGGGTTGAGTGAAGGTCTAGAGCTCAGGAGATCTAGGCTCAACATTCCTGCTCAGCTGTGGGAACTCATGGAGTTGGAGGGGGGGGCGACGTCGGTGGTAAAACTACTCCTTCAAGAGCTCACGTACCTTGAAAACCCTAATTGGGTCTTTTAAAGTCAGATCTGACTTGACCCCGCCCCAAGAACAACAAAAATAATAAATAATATAGGATGCTTCCGAACAGAGGACACCTCCCACCCAGCTCACGGCAAAAAGGCATTCTGGAACTATTCTGGGTGGTTTTCTTTTTTAAAAAAAGAAGGATACTTCAAGAATCTCTTCTCACTGGGTTTTCTCTTCCGTTTTTTTTTTTTTTTTTTTTTTAAAGAAGGATACTTCAAGAATCTCACTGGGTTTCCTCTTCTGCTTGCACCTCTTCATCATCCCCCTCTTTTGGGATAGGTTCAGTCTCATTGGACAACAATGTCATTGTTGTTTAGTCATTAAGTCGTGTCCGACTCTTCGTGACCCCATGGACCAGAGCATGCCAGGCCCTCCTGTCCTCCACTGCCTCCCGGAGTTGGGTCATATTCATGCTGATAGCTTAGATGACCCTGTCCAGCCATTGTGGGGAAAGCCATCTCATCCTCTGTTGTCCCCTTCTCCTCTTGCCTTGACATTTTCCCATCATCAGGGTCTTTTCCAAGGAGTCTTCTCGTCTCATGAGGTGGCCAAAGGATTGGAGCCTCAGCTTCAGGATCTGTCCTTCCAGGGAGCACTCAGGGTTGATTTCCTTCATGTATATACAGTGTAGCAAAATACGTTTGATCCTGTTGATTCTCGTTGTATAGCCTCTAGCATTGTAAGTTTCAAGATTTCATAATTTGTTATCTGCGGAGTTGCATTATTATTTGTAAAGGAACGATGGCACTGAAAATAAGCAGCAGAGCTTCTTGTGTAAGCTTTAGGGAAAGCTTAAGAACAAAACATTTTATTGATGAAAAATTTTATTGTCTGTTGGATGCTTTCCATTAGGAGAACCCACTGCGAATGAGGAGAGAGAAGTTCAAAATGTCAAGATTATCTCAGTGTTCTGAAAGCCCCAGTATGGGATCTTTAAGTGTTCCTAAGGTAATACAAACAAAACAGCCACTGCAAGCGGAATAGCCCTTAATATTGCCTAAAATCTTGTTAATCTGGGGCAATAAATGGATTTTGATTTTTTTTTCTTACTTTGTTTTCCTCTCTAGAGCCAGGATCATGACACCATCAGTTTTTCTGACACTAGCACAGTAGATCTGAGGTCTCCTGCCTTCCAAATACCTCTGAAGAACAAGAAGGAGCCTAAGAACTGTTTTCCACATGGTAAATGACAATGTTCTTAGTATCAAAATACTAAGCATATATATTTTTTAAAATCAGTGGCAGGAATCATTTAGTAGGTTGCAACTAGAGTAGGCCCATTGGATGAATGGGGATTTGGTGAGCTAACCCCTATGTAAGTTCCCTTGATTCAGTGAGCCTGCTCTAATGGCCACTTACTGGTGGATTTCAGCTGGTCAGTGGTGGGTAATGTTTTTGATAGATATGCTACAGTATATGTCAGCTAAACAACAGCTCTAATGGCCACTTACTGGTGGATTTCAACTGGTTGGTGGTGGATAATGTTTTTGACAGGTATGCTATATGTCAGCTAAACAACATGGAGCAAAGGTTGTTGTGGGTTTTTCGGGCTCTTTGGCCGTGTTCTGAAGGTTGTTCTTCCTAACGTTTCACCAGTCTCTGTGGCCGGCGTCTTCAGAGGACAGCACTCTGTGCTCTGGTGTAGTTTGCCTGGGAGTTGAGTATTTATGGCTGTGAGATAGGCTTTTGTCCTTTTCAGGAGATGGGTGATTAGTGTGCCTTGTTGTGGGTGTGTTGTGGTAAGGAGGAGAGAGTATCTGTCACTGTGATTGATGGGTGTCATTAGCTAGTCTTTTGTGTGTAGTGATCCCCGGTCCTTGTGGCTGGGTAGAGGTCATTGACCTTTTGCAGGCTGTATTTTTCAGAGCTGGGAGCCAAGTTTTGTTGAGTTTCAAACTTTCCCCTTTTTGTTGAAGTTCATGGAGCAATGCTATTCATGTGTGAATTATAGTACATAGGTAGCCCTATACTACCTACGGTGTGATTTTGTTTCTAAAATACTGTTTTGAAGAGGACATGACAAGACACCCAGGCAGGGAGGAGCACTGCAATTCCAATCCTGTGCCACAGCCAAGCTAATGGGCCCTCCTGCTCTGCACCATAAGAGCCACCGCTAAACACGCATTGCACCATTAGACATGGGATGGGCCCATTTCAATCTTCTTGAGTGCCATTCTGTTACCCAGTAGTTTTGATGGGAAAATATCTCATTTTCTCCAGCATCTCAATTTTTCAAGCTTGTGTCATCTGGAATACAAACAAACCTGGTAAATGCTTCAAAGACAAATTGGAAGCAGGATTATCTGTCATTTACCCCAGTTCCATTCATAAGTATTGGCAGCATGGGGAAGACCATGTTGTACTTGTCTACCATATAGATTTTAAAGACTGGGGGGGGGGCGCTCTTGGAAACCAGGGTAGAACAAGTCTAACGGATGAGTGATGAAGCCTGGTAAAGACACAGCCTTGGGTTGGGATGGAGGAATTTGATGGAAGTTCAGCTTTTTAAAAATAATGTAGATTTTTTTGCATAATCTTAAAAAATGAATTTTGGTTAATTCTTATTAAAAATGTAAAAGATTCTGCTAGGCTGCTCGGTATTTAGGAAGCATTTTCTTCAAGGAAGCATGGCACAAAATTGTAGGCACCTTTTCAGGGTTACTAGACCACCAGTTTTATCAGGATAATGCTGCAAATGGTGGGGTGGGGAGAAATAGGAAACTTTCTGCCACCCCCCAAAAAAGGATTAACAGATTAAACCATGATGTTTCTCTGTCCCTGTCTGGTCCCATTTGGGACAAAGGAGAAGAGACAGCAGCTATTCAAATATGGCTCTCTCAGGTGATGCACCGCTACAGTAGTCTTTGAGTGCAGCCATTATGATGGTTGAGAAGGTATAATCAAATTGTCACCGGCAAAAGTTATTGCATGCATGCATTGGGATACAGATTATTAGCCCCAAATGTAAATATGTAAATGTATATATTATACAATCCCTTGCTACATTCCCCTTTTAAAATTAGAATGTAATACATCATGAGTAGAATAACGAGTTAAATATTCCTGCATTACAATTGAGAGATCAGACAAAATATCTATTTTCCCCTCTCATCTACTCCTAGATGATTTGTTTTAAGCAACACACTTCTGTTTGGGCCCCTGCTTGGCAATCAGCCTTGGGGAACAGCCAGCTTGATGCACGGAAACGGAGTAAATATTCCAGTGTGCTAGTTTACCCACGATAACTTTGCTTCTTCAGGCCTCCTCATGTATGCATTGCGCACAGAAAAGGCAGCGCCATGAATAGAGAAGCGAGGAGGAAATGTTTTGCTGCTCTTCTCCCGAGACGGTGCAATCTGTCACAAATACATCTTTGATTTCCTACCCTTCTTTCGGATCATTTCAAGATTTGATTTCTCTTTATTTCAGTTGTGGTCAACTGCTTCCCATGTTGCAGCATCAACACGAATAAATTTCCCGGTAACGTTTGGTGGAACTTTAGAAAAACCTGCTACCAAATTATAAAACACAGTTGGTTTGAATCCTTCAGCATATTCATGATATTACTGAGCAGTGGAGCCTTGGTAAGTTTACTATAATATCCTCCTTTAATCAGAACGCTGTACTTTTTTAGCCAGCTCTGCTTTTCTTTGGCTTCTGCTACTGCCCAGGAGGATTCCCCCCCCCAAAAAAATGTATATAAAGCATGTTTAGTTTAACCATTTGGTCCCCCCAACTGCATGTTACAGTCCTAACATATATTTTTCACAATGCATACTTTACATTATATCCTTGTCTGGATGGATTCCACCACCAGTAATTCTCTCTATTCAGTGTTGCTCCCAGTGTCTGAAAGTCGTACACTTTTGTATGCTTTTGGAGAGGGAGAGGCTTAACTTTGTCTACACAAAGTTGCAGAACATCTAATTTTAAATTTAAAAAAAAAAACTCTTAGAATGGCAGAGCTGGAAAGGACTCTTATGCCTAACTTCTGGCTCTTCAATCAAACACTCAAGCCACTGAGCAGTTTAAATTCATCCTAAATGTTGCTGATGTTTGTTTGCTAAGATGCTAGGTATTTTTGTCTATTTATATTTCTTCATATTATTTAATCATATGTCAATTTTAGTGGCAGGTAGTAAATAAAACCCAAAGAATCATGCGCTGAGTTCCATGTGCCCCAGGGTATCTCTTGAATGGCAGCTCCTCCAGGCATCTTGCAGACCACTTTTGAAACTGAAGTGGGTTTAAGAAATCACAATAGACCTGGCCATGCCTATGGGTGCACCTAAAAGAAGTCAATAAACTAGGTGAGAGTAGTTTAAATATTACTCTTAAAAAAGATTTTCTTTGAAAAATAGGATTTTTTGAAGCCAGTTGATCAGTTGTTAGCTTTTCCTGTGAAACTCTCCCAGTGGGTAGCACTTTCTCTGTTAGGAACTGATCACCGTGGGGGTCTTTGCTGATTCTGTAGACATTTAGACAAGCCGAATGTACAAGTCTATTCTAACATCACTCATCCCCTTTCTTGAGTCCTTATCTGGCATGTTGTTCTTGACACCATTACAACAGCTCTCCAAAAAGTACTCACATTTGATTTCTGACATTCTAGATATTCGAAGACATTTATCTCGAGCAGAGAAAAAACGTAAAAACCCTCCTGGAATATGCAGACATATTTTTTTTCTACTTTTTTTCCCTGGAGATGTTTCTGAAATGGGTGGCTTACGGCTTCCAGAAATATTTCACCAGTGGCTGGTGTCTTCTTGATTTCTTTATTGTATGTGTAAGTATCATGTATACTTTTATAGTATATTTAGAATTATGCAGATACATTCTTTACGCACAGATCCATGTGATTAGAAATCACTGGCATAAGGAACGCAGTAGGTGGAGGGGAGAGCAAAATGTGTTCATAAATTCATCAGAAGGTATGCCAAGAGTTCCTTGGCAAACAGCAGGGAAAGGATCTGCTCTGTATCCTTGTGTTTGATTTCAAGAGTATGTTTTACAAGTTAAACAGCCAGTATTTTTCTTTAATGTTCCTAGGTGTCCTTTCCTCTATCAGCAGTTATACCACAGGAGAGAAGTATGTGTGACACCACGATCTCCGTAAAATCTCTCAGAACCCTGAGGGCCTTGAGGCCCCTTCGAGCGTTGTCCAGGTTTAAAGGGATAAAGGTACTGCTCTCTTTAAATGTATGTTTCAAATGTTACCGTGATGCTTGCTTTAGGTCAGTTCCCTCTTTTCCTGCTTATTTATTCAGGGAATTTTCCATGCCCCCCTACCTGACAAAGCCTCTGCTACCCCATGTTCTTCCTTCAACTTCTCTTCTCCCTCACTTTCTGCTGCTTTCCGCCATCTTGACTAGATAGGGTATATCTAGTGTGCAAGGCCCTGCCTATGCACATGGGGGCTGATCCCTCACTAAGGAGGGTGCTCTGGTGAACAGTCGCTTGTGTCCAGTAATGGCTCCGCCTTGATCAAGTTGCTCGCCTGCGAATTTGCTGGCCTGTGAGTTCCCATTGTTCTCGGCGGTTGACAGACCTATTCTGTACACGGATGTGCTGACCCTTGTCTTTCATTTCCTTGTGTAGGTGGTAGTGAATGCCCTTGCCGGCGCCGTTCCTTCCATTGGGAACGTACTGCTCGTATGCGTCGTTCTTTGGCTCCCATTTAATATCCTCGGAGTGCAACTCTTTGGAAGAAAATGTAGCAACACAGTTCCGGATAATGCCTGTAAAAACATCAGTTTTAATCATGTTGGCATGGGATATTTGGCTCTCCTCCAGGTGGTATGTTCAGTCATACATATATTTTCTGGGAAGAAAACAGCTGGAAAAACACATTTACAACCAAATAATGATATTTCCCTATTGCAGACAGAGGTGAAATTCATTTCTGAAACAAGATACTTTAAATCAAAGCAACCTGAAATATTATAGGTTGAATTCAGATGAAAATATATTTAGAGCAGATTCACTGAAATGGATGACTGTATGTGAAATCAGCATCGCATGTTGCTGGCAGTTCGAATCAATGATCTTAAGTCACATCTCCCCAAATCTAGTACTCTAACATCTTGATTTTGTTAGACTTCCTAGATCTAACAGCCTCCATTATTAGGAAGATTAAAAAGCAGCAACATGGAGTTAGAATACAGAGTTGAATTTTTATCAACAAGCCTGAGTTATGAAAAACTGAGTTTTGAAGGGAGCTGCTACACTATTCTTTCCAAGAAAAGTCTCTCGTCTTCAATTATTGCACTTTTATTATTATCACAACTTTAAATGTATTTGAATATTATAACTGATGTATCTTTGTTAAAACTGTCATTGCCATTCTCCATTTGGAAAAAGAAATTACAGATTGACAAGATATTGACAACATGTTCTTTCATGACAGTATTAAATGCAATTGATGTGGAACGAGGATGGAACAGATTTACGATTGATTAAATTCAAAAATGATAGTGGCCAGAAATAGATCAACTTGTCCATCTTTAGTGAGGGAGAAATATGTGGAATATGAAGACAAGACACGTGTCTGTAAAATGCCAAGTAGATACTTGCTGTGGTAACGGCATCCGGTAGCCATTGTCAGGATCATGACCACCATTTCTTCCTGCTGTTTTGAGATGTGTGTCTTCCCTTTACGCTTTGTAAACTCATCACAACACACACACAGGTGCACTGTTTGAATGGAGACATTTTATTGTTGTTATTTAACCTTTTTAAAGATTGCTGCACAAAACATAATGTTTAAATCTCCCCAATGTGACGGATCAGAGAAATGTTAAGCTCCACAGAGGCTTCTTCTTTCCCTTAGTTTGTTTAGGGTAACATTCTGGGGAAATGAAAAAAAAACTTGTTTAGAACTGAGTACTTTCTCAGCTGTTTTCTGTGGGGTTTTTTTTTATACATTTGATTTTTCAGTGAAAAGTTTGAATCCATATAAATATATAAAATATAAATAAAATACCACAAGTAGTTCAGATATATAAGTAGCAGTTTGCTGTGGCAAACTTGCAAAATGTAAAGAAAAGCTCTAAATTCATATTTCCATCCCAGCCAGTCTTTCTACCAGTGAATGAAACTCCCAGGTTACAGGTTAGAAAACAGATGAACCTCCTTGAGTTCATACTGGAGATCTAGAACAGAAGTGGGGCCAAAAAGGGATACAGTGGTTGTGTGCAATGCTCTCAACATATTTTCTTTTGAAATTGTGGTCTTAAAAAGATGGAGTGCAACGAGGCGCATGTTCTATCACTTACTCCTTAGCCTGGTTCCATAACGGAACTGAGATCGACTGGGAAACCACATGCTTGTAATGGTAGAGCATGTGGTGACTGGGTGTGAAGGAATTCAACTCTCTTAAATGTGGCTCACTTGGAACAGACTCCCATCCTTATTTGTGTGCATGTATGGGGCAGGCAAAGGGAGGTGGTGGCACTGCAGGTTACAATGCAGAAGTCTTTGTGTGCTGCAAGGTCAGAAGACCAGCAGTCGTAAGATCGAATCCACGCGACTGAGTGAGCTCCCGTTGCTTGTCCCAGCTTCTGCCAACCTAGCAGTTCGAAAGCATGTAAATGTGAGTAGATAAATAGATACCACCTCGGTGGGGAGGTCACGGTGTTCCATGTCTAGTTGCGCTGGCCACATGACCACGGAAACTGTCTGCGGACAAACGCTGGCTCTACGGCTTGGAGATGGAGATGAGCACCGCGCCCTAGAGTCAGATATGACTGGACTAAATTTCGAGGGGAACCTTTACTTATGGGGCAGGCATGCAGGGGAAAAAACCCAATCCTAATGTCCCTATCATTTCTGTTGTGGACTTCGTTACACTGAGGAGGAAAAGGTAAGGCAGACAGAGTTACACTCTGTGTGTACTTTCTGTGTACAGAATGACAGAATGATACTCCTTGAAAAGGCAGACAGAGTTACACTCTGTGTGTACTCTCTGTGTACAAAATGACAGAATGATACTGGAAAATGTTTATGGTGCTGTGGTTGGGTTGGACACAGAATCTGATTATCCCTTCTGGCCTAGACAAAATCAGGTATAATAATTTACAGACTCCTTCACTGACATTATTTGTTTATATTTTTGTCCAGGCAACATTTAAAGGTTGGATGGAGATTATGTATTCTGCAGTAGATTCATCTAGTGAAGTAAGCCATGAAAGTTCTTCTGTTTTTCAGTTGCTTTTCTGCATACTCCATGTGTGTGTTTGTATGTGCATGAGATACTACTTAGGCAATTTGCACAAAAATTTTTATTATTTGGTGCTCTGCGCCTGATATAATTGGTCCCATGATATGTTTAGTATATCATATTTTATATTGTTGACCGTTCTAAATTTCTTCCCCTCTGATGTTTTTTCTCTCTCTTCTGAACCCATGATTCCATTCCCATCCAAATGGGATGAGAAGTTTGCTGTATAAAACACATGCATATACTTTTTGATGAGTGTAAAAGAAATCACACACGGCATCCTAAAATTACAAACTTATTGTTCTTAAGAGCGGCTTATCTTATCCAGATGATAACATGCCGACCTGGTCAGAGAAGGAGTTTGTGCCACTTAGCACATAAGCAGCTTCTCCTCCCTGCCTTGAAGTGGGATGGTCTTCCGTTCCTCTTTAGCCGTTTCAACCTAGGGAGTCTAGGCTTTAAACACCCTTGGGTTGCCCTGGTCATTCTGCTATAAGGGGGAGCGAGCAAGGTGCCATCTCTGCGGCACCTGGCTCCATGGACCACCCCCCAGCTGGTGTTGTCCAGGTGAGGGGCTCCCCATATGTGAGGTCGTTTGTGTGCTTCTTTTCATTTCATTATATTATGTTGCAACCACGGGCGGTACACCTTCTGTTGCAGTAGTGGCTGGCTGCCTCTCATCATCAAAGAATGCAAGCTCAAAAGTTTCTGGCTGGTCCAAAGCCTCCGATTACTACAATGACAGCAGCTGCAGCATGAGCACAATAGCTTTTCTGTTCTATTCATCAATACGCTGATCTCCGTTCAACTTTATTTTAGGAGAACGGCCAGCCGTGTTTCGAAAACAGAGTCTATGCCTACCTTTATTTTGTGGTTTTTATCGTATTCGGGTCGTTCTTCATGCTGAACCTTTTCATCGGAGTGGTTATCGACAACTTTAACCAACAAAGGAAAAAGATATGTACCGGCATGAATATATGGATTTTTTTTTGCATGATTGCTCCTAGAAACAGATCTACATCTTCCACCAGTATAGTTTGTTAAATAAAATGTAAATAGAAATATATAGTAAAATAGTGTAAAATGTAAATCTTACTATGACTTTTAGATATAAGCAATAATATTTGTTTAAAACTCACTTTGAAGTTCCAGCCTAAATTTCCCAAAAGTGAGACTTCGGGAAAAGGACTGGATAGTTTGCTGTACAAGAGAGAGTAAACAACTACAGGCGTTTGAGAGTCGAAATGTGCAGTTCTTGTTCAGTGGCTTCATTCGGGAAACAAATAGCTGATAGCCCATCAAGATCATGTGACAGGATAACCATGTCATAATAACATTCTTGCTAGTGAAACCATTTGGGATCAGCAGGATCCTCTAGCTTGGCAGGATCATTGAATGGGTGAAAAGAAAGAAAAAAAAAAGAGGTGGCTTTTAGAGAGCAAGGGTAAACTGCTCCAAGAACATCTCAACCGTCCTTGAAAACCTGGTTAGGATTGCCATAAATCAGAAGCCACGCAAGAACACGTAACAAGAACATACTGAATAAATTAAAGTTGGAGAAGAACATTTTGTCAAAGTGCTTATACTAGGAAAAGTGCAAGCAGAAAGGTAGATGGTTGTTGTGGGTTTTTTGGGCTCTTTGGCCGTGTTCTGAAGGTTGTTCTTCCTAACGTTTTGCCAGTCTCTGTGGCCAGCATCTTCAGCACAGAGTGCTGTCCTCTGAAGATGCCGGCCACGGAAACTGGCGAAACGTCAGGATGAACAACCTTCAGAACACGGCTAAAGAGACCGAAAAACCCACAACAACCGTCAGATCCCGGCCGTGAAAGCCTTCGCAAATACACAGAAAGGTAGATACTTAGACCAATGCTTTTGAAAATATGCATGGATCTTCATGCAAGCTTTTTTTGGCCAAACTGATTTGGAGGTGGTTTGAAACTGAGTGTATGATGATGATGTGATACTAGAACTGAGATTCATACATCTCTTGAGAATCACAGATCTGGAGAAGAGAGATGAGAGATTGAAAGCTACAATTCCTTTTTTGTTCTGCTATGATTTTGAGACTTTTGCCTTTGGTACCTTCTTTTCTTAATTCTGTGGAACTAAAGCTTATGTTTTAGAAAGATGCCCTCCACACCCCTGAGCATGCAGATGTCATGTCTGAGACAACAGAAGCTACCGTAACAAGTTTTTAACTGTTAACTCCCATTTTGTGATAGATAGTAGTACATATTTGGCTTTGTATACCATCCGTTCTTGTGCCTTAAACTGAAAGAAGGTCAATATCTACAGGCAGAAAGATACATCTCAAATTTATTTGAAGTGTTATTCTCTTTTTTTTTATACCTAGGTGGAGAACTTATCTTTTTGTCAGAGGACCAAAAAAAATATTATAATGCACTAAAAAAACTTGGAAGCAAGAAGCCACACAAACCTGTTCCACCACCCCTGGTAAGAGCGCTGCAAACAGAAATGCGTTTCCTTAATTAGCATTGTCGGTTGACAACTAAGAACAACTTTTCAAAAACTACAGTATGTATATTAAAGCAAATTAGTTAAGGTAGAAGCATTTTCTGTTCAGATCGCAGTCAGATTGTTCTATCTCTTCTGATATTCCTCAGTTACTTCAGGGAAAGAGGGAAATGACTGGGAAGTCTGAAGAACTGAGTATGTTTTCTGCATTGCTCTTCACTAATGCAAATATTTTCCTCTCTCGTTACAGAATAAGTACCAAAGATTTCTTTTTGACATTGTAAACAAGCAAGCGTTTGATATCTTTATTATAAGCCTGATTTTGTTAAACGTGGTGATCATGATGGGAGATCATGAAGGAGAAAGTAAAGAAACCAAAAACCTTCTTGAAAACATAAATATTATCTTTGTCAGTATTTTTACTGGAGAATGTCTCGTGAAAATTTTGGCTTTGAGGCTGCATTTCTTCAAGGACAACTGGAATATATTTGATTTTCTGGTGGTGATTCTGTCTGTACTTAGTAAGTAAAAATAAGAGAGAGAAAAAAATCTTTGACACTCCCCCCTCCCATCCCTGTATACTGGGGTTTCAGGAATTAGCATGTTTGTACTAATTTATTTATTTTATATCCCGGCTATCTGGTCAATTACGACCACTCTAGGCGGCTTACAGCATAAAAATACACATTAAAATACTAATTTATGTATAGAATATAGCTTGAGACACATACCCAGCAGTAACGGTTTGCCATGGAGGCAAGCTTCTTCCTTCTCGGATGGACCCAGTGTATGTATGAAAAGACAGCAAAAAGCCAGTGCTCAGAAATGTATATGTGGCTATCTTTGTTGTATAGGGTCTTTCACAACTTCCACCAGATTATTAGAAACAGCTTGCTTTGATAGCACCGATCCCCAGGGTAGGTAAAGGAATAAAGAGCCAGAATCCATGTAAGTTTCCCTCCTTGCTGAACAATTAAACCATTCGTGGTGAAATCAAAACCCACTGCAGCTGGATATGCTCCATGGTGTTAGGGGTAGATACTTGTTTTGATTGGGAACAGAACCTTTAAAACAAGGAGTCTCCAAACTATGGCCCACAGGCCACACCCGGCCCACCTTGCCTTTCTATCTAGCCCGACAGACATTGCAGGCTCAGGTCCGTTCCCTTCAGCCTGAGTGTGCATGCACATGCATTCCTTCGGCCCTTCGAAAATGTGTCAAATATATGATGCGGCCCTCGGGCTGAAAAGTTTGGAGACCCCTGCTTTACGTCCCGTAACATGTGTCTTCTTTTAACAAAGTAGCATATTTGAAGAGAAAAGCCTGAAAAGACGAGGCATAGTGTCTGCTCAGCACTTTATAATGGAAGAGCAGGCTGGGCTTCCAGGCGTTTAGCCCATAGCTTCAAGATGAAAAGAGCCAGATTGTAACTCCATTCTGCTATTCACTGTGTTTCTGTGAAAACAATAAGCAAAGATCTGTTCAGCTTGTTCACCTTTCCTGGTGACCTTATCCTTTCTAATCAAACCAACAATATGATAATGAGGGTATACCTCATCGCTCTTAGCTGGCATTGTGTCATCTAGTTCTCTTTAATAACTGGTGATTATATGATAAATAGGATTAAATTTTTTTGTATGTATCCATCTTCTTGTACTAGGTGGCACAAACAGTGTAATTTAATGTTAAAAACCCAGTGTTTACAAGGAGGTAACACATACCCAAGTTTGTACTGTGCCAGAGGACCAGTGTCACTTGCAGTGTGTGATGAATGGATGTAATTTTGCCAGCCTAGGTTACGAGAATGGAACGAGATACCCAAGTTTGTACTGTGCCAGAGGACCGGTGTCACTTGCAGTGTGTGATGAATGAATGTAATTTTGCCAGCCTAGGTTAGTTTTTCAGTGGAACGAAAATGTCAAATTGAAGAATCAATTATTATCCTTGCTCAAAAAGAGGATCTTTGCTTGGCCTCCCGCCAACCTGCACCCCTAGTATGACCTCTTATGTACAGTGAGAGGAAATGGAAATATGTTAGCCTGAAATTGAATTGGGTGTAGCGATGAGGTGTCCAAGTAATGTCATAAGGCAGTGATTCCCAACCTTGGGTCCCCAAATGCTCCTGGACTAAAACTCCCCAAAGCATTCACCCTTGGCTTTGCTGGCTGGGATTTCTGGGATTTTGGTCCAAAAAACGTTTGCAGACAGAAAGTTGGGAACCACTGTCATTAAGGGATCACCGAAGCCAATGACATTTGCTTGCTCCGATGTCCGTTGGTTGTATCTACTGGGTGAGTGATGACTCTCATGCCAGCAAGGGCCATCAGCTGTATTTTCTCAATCAAGTCCAATATTTTTATTTTACTCTGTTCTGTCTCTCTGCTCTGCCTTTGCAAGTCTGGAAATGGAACAGAATACAAATGGAAGCACTTTAAACAGGGCTAATGGGGGGGAGGGGGAAGGATTTGGCACATCTTCCCTCACGCTCCCTGTCCAGCAGTGACACCACTGTAGCAAACCACAATAATGCTAATTATAAGCAGAATTTGTGTTTGGCAGGAAAGTTCAGCAGTTATTTGAAGATGAATTACTTTGGCAGTTTTAACAGTACAAAGAAGAGCTTAAGGTCTAAACTGGAACCTATATTGTGCTGTCAATTTTTTTCCAAAAAAATAAAGAACTACTTTTTAACAGGTGCTGCAATATCTGGCCTCCAAGAGAGTTTTGATTTCCCTCCCTCGATCCTGAGAGTGATTCGTGTGGCCCGGATTAGCCGATTGCTGAGACTTATCCGAGGGGCCAAAGGGCTCCGGACCCTCCTCTTTGCCCTGCTGATGTCCCTTCCTGCTCTCGTCAACATTGGGCTCCTCCTTTTTCTGATTATGTTTATTTATGCTATTTTTGGCATGACCAACTTTGCCTGTGCCAGCTGGACTGGAGGGATCGACAACATTTTCAATTTCCAAACCTTCGGCGGCAGTATGCTTTGTCTCTTCCAAATCACCACGTCGGCTGGCTGGAACGATCTTCTCAACCCCATGCTCGGCAGCAACAGCAATAGCACTTGCGCTGGCAAAGCGGAACGAGGGGGTCCCTGTGTCAACCGAGGCCTGGCCATTGCCTACTTCGTTAGCTATATCATTATATCATTTCTCATAGTCGTGAACATGTACATTGCCGTCATCCTCGAGAACCTGAACGTCGCCACTGAAGAAAGTACGGAGCCCCTGGGTGATGACGATTTTGAAATTTTTTATGAGGTCTGGGCCAAGTTTGACCCTCAAGCGACTCAATTTATTTCTTACTCGGCCCTGTCAAACTTTGCAGATTCTCTGGTGGAACCTTTGCGCATCCCGAAGCCAAACCGGCGACAGCTGCTGTCCATGGATCTTCCCATGGTCAATGGAAATAAAATCCACTGCTTGGATATTTTGTTCGCTTTTACCAAAAGGGTGCTCGGAGAAGCTGGCGAGATGGACACGCTGGAGTCTCAGATAGAGGAGAAATATCCAGAGAAAATTGCCTATGAACCCATCATAACGACTCCCAAGCGGCAAATGGAGGAATGTGCCATCGTCATCCAGAAGGCTTTTAGGAGGCATCTCTCTCGGCGTGCGATTGAGGAAGCCCGTCAGAAAACCAGCAGAACCAGCCTCCTGGAAAGCATACCTGAGGAGGGAGGTTCCTCTACCCTGAGACTATATGAAAGTGAAGAAGAAAGTGATGCAGACGGTTCTCAGAGCCCTACCTCTTTATGTATTCCTCCCTCTTATAGCAATGTCACAAGCACCGCTGACCACTTTCCACAGGATAATGTCTCAGAGAACATGACTGACAATGCCAAGTGATTTATACGTCAATGTTTTTCTCGCCACACTCTGATTTTCTAAGACATGTAAGGTTGTGATCATATTTCTTCCGTTATAGCCACCATAATCCAAGTGTTCAGTGAGCAGCTTTTCCTTTGATATGCTTAAATCTTCCTGGACTTAGAGAGAGAGAGAGAGAGAGAGAGACCCACTGCCAGAATAACTTAGGCAGTGCCATGATGCTCCTACTGATGTAATTGAGATGAGACTCAAGTCAAATCCTTCCTAATGGTGGGGAAGGTAGAGGCAATGCGTAACCAGCAAAAACTGGCCTCCTGGTTGCCAACTGGAAGGTTGTCTGATGGGGATGCTGTTGCCGGAACTAAGAAGTGTCCCTTGAGCTGCTCTGGCTGGAGGGCAGGTTTCTCTTCCATTTCCTTCTTTGACCTTAGCTCAGTGGTACCGCTCCAGATTAATCTCTGTGTGACTTTCCTCAGGCCATCAGTGCTATTGGTTTGAGAAAGAGTTTGGGCATGGGATTTTTCAGTTAGTTTTTTAAAAAAGGATTCTCAATAGGAACGGAAGGCATGGTTGGCCGGTTGGCCCATCGATTCCAAATGAAATTCCATTAAAACATGGAATTTGCACTCAGAACTAATTAATGTACAGCATCTTTATGTAGTACAATGTGAATATAATTAGTATAAAATGATGTAGCCATTATACGTATTTTTCGCACCATAAGACACACTTTTTCCCCACAAAACGGGGGGGTGGAAAGTCTGTGCGTCTTATGGAGCGAAGAAAACAGATATTTTCCTGTTTTCTTCTCCTAAAAATTGGTGCGTCTTATGGAAAGGTGCGTCTTATGGAGCAAAAAATACGGTAGTATAAAATGATGTAGCCATTATCTCTGCCCATAAAAGCTTCAATGCAAACATTCATGCCGTGCGGTAAGGTAACTAGTGGATTTCTTCGATGAGTAATAGAGACCATGTTGTTCTCCAGATATGTTGTAGGAGCCTTGTAGTGCAGTGGTTAAACGGCAGTACTGCAGCCAAAACTATGCTCATGACCTGGGTTCTATCCCAGGTAGCCGGCTCAAGGTTCACTCAGCCTTCCATCCTTCTGAAGCTGGTGAACTGAGTACCTAGTTTGCTGGAGCAGGGTGTGTGTGCAATGTGTAGCCTGCATAATTAAATTGTAAACCACCAAGAGAGTGCTTTAAGAGCTATGGGACAGTCTCTAAGCAGCACGCTTTGCTTTGCTTTTGTAAGACTGCACATGACACCATCCCTAGCCATCATAGCTTATGGTAGGGGACGATGGGAGTTGCAATTCACCGGCATCTGAATGTCCCTCATTCCTGACTTCTCATCAACATCACCTATGTATATACCCAAATTGCTTAAGTAAGCAAACAAAGATATTTGCTTGGTGTATGTTATACTACAAACAATATTTCAAAATGATATTACATGAATAAAAACAATTGCATTTTCATAGTGTTTTGTTTCCTCAGAGAACCTAGCGGGGTGGGAACTTGCATTCGAGTCCCTGATGATACAACTTTTACAAAGTGTTAATGCCTAACCATAGCACCTGGAGAAAGGTAGCAAATGAATGGAGCCCATACGAGGACATGTGGGAACAACTTGAACCCTATGCTCCTTGTGTTTTGCTTCTGACAACAACAATGTAGTTATAACAAGGTTTTTTTTAAAAAAAATACTAGAATTGAGCACCAGTAATTCCTGTTTCATCTAAAGGTCCAAAACGATGGTTGACTTACAGACCAGAAAAAAACCAAAATGGAACAAAAACGGCCTGTTACGGGATTAATCGGTTTTCAATGCACTGTAGGTCAATGGAGACTTGACTTACAGACTTTTTGACTTGAGAACCGCCTTCCAATATGGATTAAGTTCTCAAGTCAAGACCCCACTGTAAATGCTGGTGGGTCTGGACTGCAGTCACAGGCATACAAGCAAGATGGAAGCACTGGGGAGGGAAGAATAATGTCTGAGCTAAGACGGAGTCACTGTAAGAGTTGAGGAGCCATTGAAAAGGTTGGCAAAACAAGGAATAAGGCAGTTGGCAGCAGAACATAACCCCTTCCATTGAGTGGCCATTGCAGCCCCTCCCACCACATCAACAAAGTCATTAATAAGTCTTTCTTTCTTTCTTTCTTTCTTTCTTTCTTTCTTTCTTTCAGTCCAACACCTTTAGATGGCAGCAGCTTCTAAAACTTCGTAACACTAAAGGCTGTGACATATTCCAGGATAAAAGCCAGCACCCACCTCTGATCATTCAGTTTCAGAAACAATCATTCAAAAGAGCAATTAAGTTTTTTGCCCCTCCATTGATTACAACAGAGGTCTTCCTTTTCTGTTGCATCCTGTGCCTGTATATCCTCGTTTATACTAAATAAGACCAGTTATATGAAATATTAAATATTAAGGATTACATTGTTATAATTCCCAAGTTCATTAATCATTTCATATTGTGTTTTGTGTTATTCAAGCAAGCAGTTGTGTAACTAACTACCTATGGCATGGACTCAATGCTGTGAAAAGACTTTTCTGTTCACATTACTAGCCAGTTTTCCAAAGGAATCCACTCCTAGTAAATTTCCCTCCCTCTGCTATGGAGGTCATTCCAAATATTGGCTGCTACTTCTGAAAAAGCCCCCTCTAATGTACCAAGGTCTGCATAGTCAAAGCTATGGTTTTTCCAGTAGCGATGTATGGAAGTGAGAGCTGGACCATAAAGAAAGCTGACCACTGAAGAATTGATGCTTTTGAATTGCGGTGCTGGAGGAAGCTCTTGAGAGTCCCCTGGACTGCAAGGAGAACAAACCTATGCGTTCTGAAGGAACCCTGAGTGCTCCATGGAAGGACGGATCCTGGAGCTGAGGCTCCAATCCTTTGGCCATCTCATGAGAAGAGAAGGCTTCCTGGAAAAGACCCTGATGTTGGGAAAGTATGAAGGCAAGAGGAGAAGGGGATGACAGAGGACAAGATGGCTGGACAGAGTCATCGAAGCAACCACCATGAATTTGACCCAACTCCGGGAGGCAGTGGAAGACAGAAGGGCCTGGCGTGCTCTGGTCCATGGGGTCACAAAGAGTCGGACATGATTTAATGACTAAACAACAACAAATGTACAAAGCTTTTATTTTTCAAAAAAATGAGGGGGAACGAAAACTGGACCTTAGGAAGGAATTGTAGGCTCACATGGAGAAGGGAATTCCCAAAATATACTGGCCCTAAAATATTTAGCACTTTTTAAAAAACACAGAACCTCTAATTTACAGTGTAATGCTTCCAGTAACAAATAGTCTAATCATCTTAACATTTTAATTTGTTTCTGATTTTGCATTTGTTTCATATTCTTCCATTACAGTGGTGCCTCGCTTAACGATTACCTCGTTAAACGATGAAACCGCTTTACGATGATTTTTTGCGATCGCTATTGCAATCGCAAAACGATGTTCCTATGGGGAAAATTCGCTTGACGATGATCGGTTCCCTGCTTCGGAACTGACTTTTCGCTAGACGACGATTCTAAAACTGCTGATCAGCGGCTCTAAAAATGGCCGCGCACTGTGCAAAATGGCTCCCCGCTGTTTTTAGCATGGGGTCCTCCCTTTACAGGCACTGATTCGCTTGATGACGATTTCGCATAACAGCGATTTGAATGGAACGGATTATTGTCATCAAGCGAGGCACCACTGTATTTTAATACAAAGAAAGAAACAAAGAAAAGAGAGAGAGAGAGAGAGAGAGAGAGAGAGAAAGAAAGAAAGAAAGAAAGAAAGAAAAAAAGAAAAGAGAGAGAGAGAGAGAGAGAGAGAGAAAGAAAGAAAGAAAGAAAGAAAGAAAGAAAGAAAGAAAGAAAGAAAGAAAGAAAGAAAGAAAGAAAGAAAGAAAGAAAGACCTCTAATTTATACTGGAAACACATTGACAAGTAGCATAAGTAAGTAGGATGTTAGTGTAATCTGAATGACGGCCTCCAATCAGATTTTTGCTAGCTGCATTTTGAACCAATGAAAGCTTTTGGTCTGTCTACAAAGGCAGCCCAACATTACAGTAATCTAACTTCAAGGGACTACAACCAGGCCTTGCTTCCCTGCCCATTAAAAAAACCTCCATTGGCATATACAAAACACTTCTGGTAACCGCTGCCCCTTGGCCTTCCAGAAGCAGGGCCAACTCCCGGAGTGCAGTCAGCTAACCTTCTGCCTCCAGTTAAGGCAACCTTTGGTCCAAAGCGCCATGGCATGGAAATGTGCATAATGCAGCCCTTCTCATGGCAGCAGAACATGTTCTTGGAGCAGAAAGAACACCAGACAAGGAAAGCAACAGGTAACTGTCATTTCTCTACTATCCACTATCTGACAAGGGAGAAAATGGATCATTTGATTGTGCTTTCATCCTTCCATGGTGATATTACAACGTTAGGCCGGAACTGCGTGGACAGTTTCCCACTGTAACTTTGTTTTCCTTCTGGTTTTGTAAATGGTCCTTAGGAATGGACCTCAAGAGATGGGAAACCTTGACCTCTGAGCGTTCAGCCTGGGGGCAGGCAGTGCATCGTGGCCTCTCCCAATTTGAAGAGACCCTTGTCCAGCAGGCTGAGGCAAAGAGGCAGTCCTGAAACCAGACAAATCAGGGAGCTGGATAGGGGGACAGACTATATTTGTGTTCAATGTGGAAGGGATTGTCACTCCCCGAATTGGCCTTCTCAGCCACACTAGACGCTGTTCCGAGACCTCTATTCAGACCACGTGACCATAGCCTCTCGAGACTGAAGGATGCCTACACACAGGTTTTGTAAACTAGAAAACCAAAAAAAGAAGAGGGAAACTGTCCAATATTAGAAACCTTTTGTCATCTTCGGTGACAGAATTGTATCTCTAAATGAATAAACAAAACAAGCAAATCTGATGAATGCTGTATCCATATTTGCCAGAGAAACCAGTTTCCTTGCCTTTGATATCCAAGGCACCTTTTTCCAGATCTAGACTGTAAGCAAAGAGCCCACACTGTAAATAATTTAACTCTTCAAAGATGTGTTGAGAGAATGAGGAACTGTGCAACAGAGGGTGCATTTTATATCCAAAAGCCATTTAGCGTTCCTAATGGCTATCAAGGCAAAGGCACCCACTATTTTATATCAGGATGACATGTTGGTTACTTATCCATGTCTTGATCAAAAGAGCTAATGAAATTTGAAATCTACCGTTAATAAAATATAAAGGAAAATATATTCATTACTCATATTTTGAATCTTACAAGCAGGATTGTTTATTACAAAGCTTCCTACCCCACTACCGTTAACTGTAGCAAATACAAGTGGGATCCTACTATTGA